CTTGCCTGCTTGCTCGGCTCAGTGGACGTTACTGAATGGAAAGCAGGAAGGACGTTGAGCTCCTGATGGAATGTGGGGGAGGGGCGGTGGGCTGAAATCAGGAAAATTCTTGAATGAAATAAAGCATTCGCGAAAGAGCATTCCATAAACATAATTGTTTTTTTTTTTATTATTTTTTTTTTTTTGAAAGGATATCGATGAGCGCGATTTTTTCCTTTTTTTTTTTTTTTTTTTTTTTTTTTGCATACTACTTACTCTCCAGTATTTAGTTCATTCAAGGAGCTGTCAACACTTTATCTCACTGGTTTCCGAAGCCGATCCGCGTTCGAAACCAGCGCGCCGGTAACCTGGTTTCTCTGTGCACGCACCCTACGATAAGACCAGATAACATTGAAGATATTGATCCTGAGGGGCATTCACCTTAGACACCGTTCGTAGACTTCGCTAAGATCCATTTTTTTTTTTTTTTTTTTTTTTTTTTTTTTTTTTTGCTAATAGGCTACGGGAAGGTCGAAAATCTGGCCTTATGATATTGCTTAAAGGTACCTATGGGAGGGACTTCGCTAAGATGCATTTTTTTTTTTTTTTTTTTTTGCTAATAGGCTACGGGAAGGTCGAAAATCTGGCCTTATGATATTGCTTAAAGGTATCTATGGGAGGTCAAAGGTCGGCGAATTCAGCGGCTTAATTTGGATTTTAAAGGTACATGAAAATTTTTGGTCATGAGAGATAAAGAAAACATGTGTATGATATGTATGTGAGTGTGTATGTGCGTGTGTATGCAGAAAGACACAAACACGCACACATAGATAGATATATATCTATACAAACATACATATGAATAGACACCATGCTTCTTCTAGAGCCCTATATACGTAGACAGATAAGGAATGTGAAATCAGATACACCAGGGTCCACAGATAAGATCATACCATACCAAGTTACCAACACTACCATTCTCCTATTATCACCTCTTCAATTTTTTTTCTTATCTGTGGAATATTTCTGTTTAAGGAGCCACTTCTCTATATTTTTTTTCCTGATAAGATTTATACAAAATTTAAAAAGTAAGTTTCTGATATTCGTTGTATATCTTCGATGAAGCAAAGAATAAAAAAAAAGAAAGAAACAGAAGATGGATAAAAAGAAGAAGAAAAGAAAATGAGAAAGAGAAGAAGAAGGCGCAAGAAGAGGAGTGTGAAAAGAAGGAAAACACGAAGAAGGGGAAATGAGAAAAAGAAGAGGAAAAAGACGAAGAAAAAACGACCGTTACAAATTTTCTAAGAAAATAGCTGACATTTATTTCCGGGAAAAAAGTGAATAACCATTTTTTTTTTTCAAATTTCCCGCCGATATTGTGCCGTCCGCGAAAGAAATAACAAAATAAATAATAATCAATTTGTCTATGATTCACTGTACATGGCATCGTTTCTCCCGTCCCCAAAAAACAAAAATAAAATATATTTGGCGGAAATACCTTACTTCTCTGCGTCGTGTCATGTCTATTGTCTATCGTGGCCGTGGTCGGTGGTCACCTGATCAGTACTGACGTATTTCGCAATATGCGCAAAAAAACCTGCATTGATCTTAGAAGATAGGAAGGTACGCATCTTATTTTGGTGCTGTTTTTTTTTTTTTTTTTTTTTTGTTCTTTTTTTTCCTCCTACATTTCATTATCACCAGAATTGCTCGCTATTCAAGAGAAAAAATATTGTTGTGGCCTAAATTAAGAGGAAAAAATGATGATAAGAACCAGTGTATTTTTTTCATTCAGGAAATAATGATAATAAAAAAGAGAAAACGTTTAGGATAAAACTAAGAAAAATACGTTCCACTTAAATGTTCCATATAAGAAAAAAAATAATGATAATAAACATTCCACATATTCGTTTCAAATAATGAAAAAAAAACAATATAAAATATACAAAAAACTAATATTTATTCGAAATAATTGCCCTATTTTCCTGAAAGACAAGAAAAGAAAACCGTTCTTGCACATATCTGTCCCAAATTTTCGCTCTTTCGCAAAAGAAAAAAAAAAAATTACGAAAAAGAAAGTGGTCCACATTTCCCACAAAAAAAACGAAAAAAAAGGTGGTCCACAAATATTCGTCCCAATTTCCCACAAGAAAAAAAAAACGAAAAAAAAGGTGGTCCACATATTCGCCCCAATTCCGCAAGTAGTAAAAAAAGAAAGAAAAAAGAGAGAGATAAAAAAAAATTCTCTGCATTCCGGAGGTCCAGAGGTTAATAAACAAGTATGAAAAAACTCGCGAGACACAGAGATCCTTCTTATTAATTCAAGTGTGCTCATAATGTACTAGTACCTTAAGAATTCTTGAATGTTTACCTTCATTTTCCCTTTTTTCTTTTCTTTTTTTATTGCTCTTTAAATGCAATGCTCTGTGACCTATTTATGAATTACGAGATCATTTAGGATTAAATTGTGTTTTCTCTCTCTCTCTCTGTCTCTCTTTCTCTTTCTCACTCTCTCTCGTTCTCTTTCTATCTTTGGCTATTTGTCTATCTGTTTATCTGCTTACATGTTTATCTATATATTTGTCTGTCAATTCATCTATCCTTTTTCTTTCTTCTTCTTCTTCTTCTCTCTCTCTCTCTCTCTCTCTCTCTTCTCTCTCTCTCTCTTCTCGCCTCTCTCTCTCTCTTCTCTTTTCTCTCTCTCTCTCTCTCTCTCTCTCTCTCTCTCTCTCTCTCTCTCTCTCTCTCTTCTCTCTCTTCTTCTCTCTCTTCTCTCTCTCTCTCTCTCTCTCTCTCTCTCTCTCTCTCTCTCTCTCTCTCTTCTCTCTCTCTCTCTCTCTCTCTCTCTTTCCTCTCCTTTCTGAATGCTCCCAAACAACGAGAATTTACACTATCCCCTCCTCAAAAAAGTGACCAATCAATATATAATTAGAACATTAAAAAACAGACCGCAGTGATATTCAACTGATTTGTTTAAATAAGCGTTTGGCAACTCGACAAAAATGTAAACAAACCGTTGATTCGAATCTGTTTTCGAACGCGATGAAGCAGAACGAGGGGTCGATATGACGTGTTGAACCTTCTTGTTTTGTTTTTGTTTTGTTTGTGGTTTGTAAGTGTTCTGGGGAGAAAAATCGTGCGTGTGTGTGTGTGTTTTGGGGGGTTAAGGGGGTGGGGTGTCGTGTTTTTTTGTTTTGTGTTTGGAAAGGTGGGGGAAGGGGCGTGTGCTGTGTTTGTGTAGGAATGGGGGTGTTGTGTTGTGTTTGTGTAGGTAGGGGCGTGTGTTATGTTTTTTTTATTGTTGTGTGTTGTATGTTTGCGTGTATTTCACACACATTGTATATACGTATTTCTAATGCTAAAATTGGAAAAACTGCATATGATATACGTATTATGCGAGATGATGGTGAATAAGACACAATACACACACACACACACACACACACACACACGTATATATATATATATATATATATGTATATCATATATATATATATATATATATATATATATATATATATATATTATATATTTATATATATATATTTTTTTTTTTTTTTTTTTTTTTTTTTTTTTTACATATATATGCATGTGTGTGTGTTGTGATTGAAACAAAGAGTCAGGGAAACAGAGAAGGACAGATAGAAACAGCCAGCGATATATCGCGAGAGAGACAAAGGAGAACGAACGAGAAGACAAGAAAGAAAGATAAGGCAGAAGAAGGGAAGGAGGAGAGGAGAGGAAGGAGGAGAGGAGAAGAGAAGAGAAGAGGAGGAGAGAAGAAGAGAAGAGGAGGAGAAGAAGAAGAGGAAGAAGGAGGAGGAGAAGAAGAAGAAGGAAGAGGAGGAAAGGATTAGTCTGTGGCGAATCAAACCCGCAGAGTTAATCAAGCAATCAAGGACAATTTATCAATAAATTACCCAGTGGAACGTTGATCACTGTAAGATAAGGATGTTGGATAATGAAAGACTGTTCAGGAGCAAAGCGAAGAAAGAATTACGGAATACGAAAGAAAAGAAAAAAAAATGAATGCTCGAAAGAGGCTTAAAAATAACGGTTAGATTGACACCGAAGAAAAAAAAAAAGTTAAATGCTCGAAAGACGGTTAAAAATAGCCGTTAATTTGACACTGAACAAGAAGACGACATCGGTAATGAGTGTGATGTGGATGACTGACACGCATCCTTTCACGCTGAAATTCGAGCTATGCCGTGTTGCAATGCCGAGAAATTTACAACGGGGCGTGTTGTGGTTGCATAGGTCACTCTCGCCGACTCTGCGACAGAAGCGCGCTGATTGGTCTACGCGACTGGTGACGTCATCGTATTTCGTGACGTGACTGATGAAGAAAGGAGAGAGAGGAAGAGATTCCACTGGATCGTAATTAACATGTTTTTAATACTTCCCTGTTTACGAGGAGGGAGAAAATTAGAGATTCAGGTCGACTATTGATAACGACAGTCTGGGAAGAACGGTAGTACTGTACCCACTACACGTTCGTCAGACCCCCCTACCCCCTTCCCTCCCTCTACACTTCGCTACCCTCACTACCCCCTTCCCTCTTACCTCATCCACCTGTCTTTCATTTCCCACTGTGAGACCCTCCCTCACCCTTCTTACCCCGTACCTATATCCCACACGTTATTACCACCCTCGTACTACCTCCCTCCCTTCGTTTCTCAGCCTTGCCACAGCAGCAACGGGCGCGACACTGAAAGAGCTCGGGGGCGCGCGGTCATAAATAGAGGGCGACTGCGGACTCCCCGGTCAGTCTTCTCGTGACTGTCAAGCTGAGAACATCGACCCAGGATTCTTTCCCAGACGCACGTGCATCTCTCTCAACCTTTCTCTCGTTGACTGTCTTTAAACGTATTTTCCCTCTCGAATTTTAATACGATTTCGTGAATTCTCGCATTAGAGAGAGGAGACAAATAAAAAACAGAGAGAGAGAGAAAAAAAATCTGAAAAAGAGAGAAAACCCTCGACGAAAAAAAAAAAAACAAAAACACTCGGATCCAACAAAAAAACAAAAGAACATCAACCATGGGCAAGATCAAGGACATGAAGGAGTACATCGGCACGGGCGAGCTCATGAATGACCGCCGCGTGTGGAAGGCTTTCCTGGCGGAGTTCCTGGGCACCATGTTCCTCGTGTTCATCGGCTGCGGCTCCTGTATCGGCTCCTGGAATGAGGGATACGCCCCCAGTGTCGTCCAGATCTCACTCGCCTTCGGGGTCACCGTGGCCTCCATCGCGCAGGTAAGAGAGGGGCGGGGATTCCTCTTTATTATCTACTAG